TATCTATTACGATTTACGTTAAGCGGCCCAAATTCAAAATTGAAAGTGTTTTTTTACACCTTATATGTTAAATTTCTTTGTAAGTACTAATATTTACAATTGTATAATAGCAGTGTGGCACGAGCGGATTAAACGGGATTACTAAAATTCATCGATTGTATGCGTTTGGATTATTCTGCTCAACAATAAGATCCGTTAGCATTTAAGACCATCAACATCAAAACCATATAAAAACAATACAAATTGAAAATATCGCTAAACCCATTATGTGATCATTCAACCCCCTTAGGGTAGAATATCTCACTTCTTATCGATATCTACTTGTAATAATTTAATCACTGTTAACTATAATAATGAATTGTTAAATAACACTGTTATTGAATAAATGATAGTCACTATTCACATTTGTAATTTATTTCATAGATATATTATGCAAATAATAAAAATATCTGCAATTCATCAATACTATTTTAAATTTTTATAATAAATATATATTTGTTTTGATATGGTCCGTTTAAGACAACCAGTGTTGGGAAAGATAACCAATAATTTTATCTAGATTAAAGATAAAGATAATGACTAAAGGCTTATATAATATAAGGATAAAAGATAAAAGAGAATTATTTAAAATAACATTTAAGGTCTGACTCTTGGCTATATTTTTAAAATAACTCTTTTATTTAATGCCTTAAGGTTTGATGGAATATTCTTAAAAGTAAATAGGTTAATAAATGATTATTATTTAAATTAGTATTAATTATACCTACCTATATTTCAATATCTGTACAAGTAGTGATTACTAAGTGGCTTTAAATTATTCATAATTTTTTAACTAAATTTAATTGGGTTTCATAAGGTAACATTAAGTTGTATAAAGATAATATACTAGTATACAAGTATATTACATTTGGTTGTACTAGAATTTGTATTAAAATATTTTTTTAATATAATAATTTAAATTTTAAAATACATATAAATGTCACAGTTCACATATTTCAATTATTATTATATGACAAATTATTAAAAACTACTAAATAAAATAATAAAATCTTATTTTAATAAAAATAAAAAAGAACTAATTTGCTTGATTTAAAATCTATTATCTATCGACAGACAAAACGCAAAAATATAAGTATAAGATAAAGATACTCTGGATTTATCTAGATAAAAGATGAAAGATAATTTGGACGTTATCTAAATTATCATTTGAATAATTTTATCTAGATAGTCCCAACACTGATGAAAACATATATTAATCATCAATTTCTGCGATTTCCTCGTACGTCCCAGTAAAATATATAAAAATCGTTGATTTTTAGTACAATTTCCAACACGAATGTTAATACTGGAAACGCGGGTAAAAATAATAATAATAAAAAAAAAAACATTTGATGCATTTGTATAGAAAATTAATTTAATCATACATATAAGTTGTACACGGTAATATTGTGATAATATTATCATATAAGAATATTAACATCAATTAATTATATAACTATTTATACGCTTTCGGACGAAGAGTTTATTTTTCTCTGAACGATTTCTACCTATTTTACGCGCATCGCGCTTTTACAATATTTTAAACATTTTAATCGGTTAATATTAGGTACGAAATGCATGTTTCATAATGTAATCGTTCAACAGTTATACCCACTGAATAAATATTTAATAAGTAAAACATGTTTATACATATAAACAATTACAGTACATATATGTATATATATATATGTGTTATAGTTGTATGAAACGAGTGTATAAGTAAAATAAAATTACAATCGATAAGTATATAATATACATATAAATATATGTGTAGGTATGAAGCGTATCGCAGAGCATTTCAGTATAAATAAGTTTTCTTTCAACGTGTACACGCAACTAATAAATTATAATTATTTAAGTTTGACTAAATTATTATATTTAGACGTAAATATAATATTTATATATATATAAATATGTACAAAATAATATTTTTTCAAGATGTTGGCACAGAAAATCCGTTTCGTTTCTTTGGTTTTTTTTTATTTTAGTTTTTTATTTAATTTTTTTAATTTTTTTTTTAAATTTTTTTCTAATGTTCGATTAAAATTCAGATTAACGATATCGAAACATCATAAAATATGCGTAACATTGAAACGTACACACTTTCCTAACATTACGGTTTTACGTGTACAATATTATTATATCGTTACACCATTGCTAAGGTTTATTGTTTTATTCATGGCTCGGACATCAGATCGGTGATCTGTTTGTTCTTTTTGCTTTTCACGCACCTCCCCTTATAGCATATTTCAGTCTCCATGGATACTTTGGTCGTGGTGGACGTGACCGGCGCGGTGGACGGTAACTCCGTGACCGCAGCTGATGTAGCGGTGGTCAGCTCCACGTCCGCACCCGCGAACACCGTCTCCGCGGTCGTCTCATCGGCCGCTGCGGTGGTCGCATCTTGCTGCGGTTGCTGCTGCTGCTGCTGGTGCTGCTGCTGCTGCTGGTCACCGTTACCGCTGATGAACTTGGCCAACATATCGGCCAGATTGCGCTGGAACGCTTCATCCTGCTCGTCGTCCGGATACTTAGACGCGGCCGACGCGGACGGCGGCGGCGGCGGCGGAGGGGCCACAGTGGTCTCGGCCAGCCGTTCTTCCGTCACGCCTTCCACCGCGTAGTCCTGCGATGGCACTGCGACCGTCGTCAGCGGGCTGGCCGTGGTCGTGGTCGTAGTTGTCGTTGACGTGGTGGTGGTTGTCACGGTCGGGGCAGCGGTCGGTGCGTCGGTCTCCGCGCTCGTGGCCGCAGTCAACGTGGTCACCTCAGCCGAGGGTTCCGACGAGGAATACGGGCCATTGAACTCGGCTGTCGGCTTGGTGGCCAGTTCTCGGATAGCGTTTGCCGACAGCGGACCCAGCGAGTTCTGCGACTCCGCCGTGTCCAGGTTATCCTGCGGCTTCTTCACGCGCACGCGCACCCAATGGCCCCTGCGGCCCGGTCCCTTCTTCTCGCTGTTCGGGTCGTGGGCTTTCTTCTCGTTGCCGAATTTATCCTTGGACGGATCCTCGTCCGCGGGCGGCTCGCCGCTGCTGTACTTGCCCGTCGATGACGGCGCCTGCGTGTACCTCGTGTCCAGCTCGTAGCTGTGGCTTTGCTGGATCGTCACCGGCTCGTTCCAGAACGACGCTGCCTCCTCAATTTTCCGCTGTTCGTCCTGGCCGGTGGCCGAATGCACGTCGTTTACGTCCTCGTGCTGTTGGACGGCCGCTGGGGCTTCTGTGGTGGTGGTGGTGGAAGTCGTGGTCGTCGCCAAAGGTCTCCTCGACCTGGACCGCACGTACTCCGATCGGCCTGATTGTGTTGTCCTCGACCTCAACGAACTACGCGTAGCCGTCGTTTCTGTTTGTTCGGTAGTGGTCGTGGTGGTAGATGGACGTCGTCTTCTGAGAGGGTTGTACCTCTGCGTGGAAACATCCGTCACGTGTCCGGATACTTCTTCAGAAGTCGACAGTTCTGTCGTCGGTTTCCGGGTCGTAGTCAACCTTTGCCGTGGTCTTAACTTTGGTCGTTCCCTAGGTCTTTCACTGCTTTCCACATTAGCGCTAGTGATTTCCACCGGCACTTGAGTGGACGATAACAATAATTTATCGTAATACGATAGGCGTTGTCTTAATTTCGGTGTTTCCGTAGAAGCCTCTGTTACCGCTGTTTGAGGTTCGTTCGAAACGGTTTGTGGAGGGTCGGATGCCGCTTGAACTTGTTCCGTCGACGACGATTGTTGGTTCAAAAAGTTGTTTCCCACTTGGTACTGAGAAAGCGGTTGGATTTGCTGAAAGTTCTTAAATATTTGTTTTTCAGTCGAACTAGAGATGAATTGTTGCTGATTAGCTCCTTCGTTATTTATTCCCGCTGACGGCTGAACATTATTTAATGCTTGTTCCTGGATAGTCTGAGGAGGATTGTCAAGGAATTGTTGTTGATTTTCAAAGAACGGTTGTTGACTCGGTTGTTGATTTTCAAATATCGGCTGTTGGCTTGGTTGTTGATTTTCAAAGAACGGCTGTTGACTCGGTTGCGGTTGGTTTTCAAAGAACGTTTGTTGACTTGGTTGTTGATTGTTGAAAAATTGTTGCTGAGGTAAAGTATCTAAAAAGTTTTGTTGTTGTTGTGGAACTTGTTGATCGGAAAGGAACTGTTGTTGTTGCGAATTATCAAATTGCTGCTGTTGTTGTTGTTGTGAATTATCAAATTGCTGTTGTTGTTGTTGTTGCGAATTATCAAATTGCTGTTGTTGTGGTTGAGAATTATCAAACTGCTGTTGTTGTTGTTGTTTTTGTATAGGTGCTTGAGTAGATTCAAATACTGTAGTTTGTTCAACTGGTTTTCGTGAAAATTTCTGTCTTGTTGGCGTTGGTGTACTTTCAATAAATTGTGGTTGTTCGCTCACCGAAGGAGATATTTCTGGTAATCGTTGTAATTCTGCCGGTGTTGTAAATTGATCTCTTTGTCGTTCTGTGACATCATTTACCGGTGTACTTGTACTAAAGCTAGATAATGTCCCTCTATGCAACGGTTTTCTCTGTCGACCTCGTTTAGTAGCAGAAGAAGTAGTACTAGTTATTGGAGCTCTTTCTGTTCCTCGCTGTGTGGTACTTGATACGGATTGTTGCAATGAATTCACCTCGGTTGGTAACTGAGATGTAAGTGCGAACGGAACAAACTCGGTTGTAGAACCTACTGATTGTGGCTTGGAAGATACAACAACCGACCCTATATGTGGCGGAGGGAATGGGATTTTAGAATAACCAAATGGAGGTTTGAAATTAAGTGGTGCCACGAAAAATGGTAAACGATCAGCCATTGAATCTATTTTAGTAATATCTAGTGAAGATAAATAAGGAAGTTCAAATTTAACGTATCCCCTTGGTGCATCAAGATCAGACGGTCCAACAAACACTTTGGGTGAACGAGTTCCAATCGTATCTAACACCGGTATAGTTTTTGCGTCCTTTAAAATTGTCAAAACTTCATTTATTCGGTTGTCCAGACGTTTTTCCATGTAAACAGAAAGTGGTGGTTGATGAGGTGGTGGATATGGCGTTGATGTTTGTATTTGTTCTGTAGAACTTGGTAAATTGAACGTTTGTTGTGGCAGTTGTGTTGATGACGACAAGGATTGAACTTTTGGTTTTGATTTGGGTTTTACTTCTACAAACGATTCTTGCGATTCTTGTTTTGGTTTTGTTTCCTGGAAGTTTGGAACAAAGTTTTGTGGACTTTCCGGTTTTGGCCTCAATGACTCAAAATTAGGAGTAAATGTTTGCTGTGGTACTTCTTGTTGCGGAAGCTCTTGGAAAGTGGGAATGAATTGTTGTTGTGGTTCTAATTTTGGTTCTTCGAACTTCGAAATAAACTGTGATGGTGGTGGTTCTTGTCTTGGTCTCGTTTCTCGGAAATTGGAAACAAACTGCTGTTGTGGTTCTAATTTTTGTTCTTCAAATTTGGGAACAAACTGTGGTGGTGATGGTAGTTCTTGTCTTGGTCTTGTTTCTTGGAAATTAGGAATGAACTGTTGTTGGGGTTCTAATTTTGGTTCTTCAAATTTGGGAACAAACTGTGGTGGTGATGGTGGTTCTTGTCTTGGTCTGGTTTCTTGGAAATTTGATTGTACATTCTTGGGTCGTTGTTCTGGCCTTGGTCTTGTTTCTTGGAAACTAGACGATGGACCATTTTGTGGTCGTGGTTCTTGCCTGGGTCTTATTTCTTGGAAATTTTGTTGGACATTTTGTGGAGGTGGTCCTTGTCTTGGACTATTTTCATCAAAGTTTGACACGAAACTTTGTGAAGATTCCTGTCTTGATTCATCAATATTTGGCGCAAAAGATTGTTGAACCTGCGGCTTGAAATCCTTTGGTTTTTCTTCGCCGAAAGAAGGTTTTTGAAATCTATTGTCATGGAACTGGAAAAAGTTGGAAGATGGGTTTCGGGAATCCTCTACAAACTGATAGGATTGCGGGGAAGCTGGTTGTTCGTTTTGAGGCAAAAATTCAGGACGCTGTTCTTTTAATTGATTGGGAAAAGCTGGTTTTTCTGGTCCGAATAACTGCGATGGTGGTGGGAAACGACTAGTGTCTTGTTCAAAAGATGATGGTGGTGGCGGGGGTGCAAAACGATTAGGATCTTGTTCAAATTGTTGGGCGCTTGGAAACCGAGGTGGATCGAATGGTTGTGGTGGTCGTTGGAACTTTAATTTACCAGTCTCAAAAGGTGATTGTGATTTTATATCCAATTGTGATTGTTGCTGTAATGGTCTATCGACTTGCAATCTAGGTTTTTGTCTTTGCAGTGCTTCAATGGGTACGTATACAAGCTGTACTGATCCCTTGTTTTGTTGTTGAATGAACGGAGATTCAGGAAACGTTACTTTGTTCTCTTTTGGTTGAGGCTGGGGCTGTTGCGGTATGAACGTAAACTGTGGTGTGAAGTTGGGAACCCCTTGGAATCTTGTCTGAAACGGATTCGGTTGACCGAAAAACGGCACTGGGAAGTGCACGGGTTGCGGTATTTTCGGTGCTTGCTGTTGACTGAAAAATTGACCCGACGTAGCCGGTGGTGTAGTGATTTCATATGGTTCACCAGACGGAGCTCGGTTGAAACTGTTTTGTTTGGAGTTAAAATTAAACGCACGGGCAGACGGAGCTGCTGGCGGATTCAATAAACTACCGATTTCATCTCCACCACCCGTAGCCTCGTTGGGCTCCAGATTTTTTTTGCACGATGGGCAACTCGCCGTAATTGGTACCCAATCATCGATTCGTTTTGATGGTTGATCAGGTCGGCTCCATTTTTCCTGTGGCCTCACTGGTTCGCATAACAAGGCCGTGCAAAGGAGCACGACCAATCTCCACCCTTTCATGATCTAGTGGAACCTAAATAGAAAAAAAGTTGAATCAGTAAATGCTGTAGGATATTCGTTATAGATTTTTTTTTATCATCTAACTATTATTTAATATTAATTCATATTATGACTGTTGATATATATTCAATGACGATAAACATTTAATAACAAATTATTAATTTTAGTCGTGTTGCACGAGATAATTATATTATATATAATATATATCTTAAGGGAACCTCTGTGGAAGTGAATACTTCCATGGTTCTTCAGACGTAAGAGACGACTTAATAGGGTTGCGTCAGTTGTACAGCCGGTTAGGCAAAATTTTGTCTTAAGAGAGGTCAAAGCACACTTTTATGTTGATTTTCTCGTATCCATGTGTGATTAATGCTAACAGTTGAATTTATTATTGGTTATTTTAACTGGAAGAAAAGAAAAATCATAAAAAATCCACAGAGATAATTTTTTGCTAAAACAACCAAACAAAACTATAAATGGAGTTGAATTTTATTTCGCTATTTGGGCTTCATGGTTTGTTGAATAAATTTGAAAATAAAATTCTAGCAGTTAACTTGTCAATGGAAAATTAATAATTAATAATTATTTATTTCTTTGAAAAAATTTACAATGCATATAAAAAATAATACAAATTTTACAGTTAAAAGTTACTCGATTCATGTATTTTACTCAAGTAGTTTTATATTTTTTTTTTTTTTTTTTATAAATGATAAATAATTTAAAAATTGTAAAATAGAAATAAATTCTAGAGTACAATACGATATTATTAACAGGTAGATATAAGAATTTTGGTTTTGTCGTATTTATTACGACATAATGAATTGTTGAGTAACTTATACTATTATTTATTAATGCCGGTATATCACCTGAAACCGATCGTGCAGATATTTTATAATATGATAATTGTCCACATCGGAACTGTTTGGATTGCAATAATGGTAATAATTTATACATGTATATAATATGTATCAGGTCACATTCAAATTAAATTATAAATAAATTACCCGAAACTTCGAGTAACGAAGAATTTCCACTGTCTATCGGGTACACTTTTTCAACACATGTTCCCCAAAAACAACAATACCTGATACACTCGTACACCTGTACAATATCGCAGTATTTGTATTCATGAATCAATGCGTTTACGCATAGTGTCTATAATATACGAAACTTGGCAACTACAAGACGAAATATCGGCACGCTCTTTATAACAATAATTATTTTCGTGACATAATTTGTTTGAAAATTGATTATATTTTCTTATTCGAGGAAAACCAAACTATTCCAAAATAACTGTTTTCTTTTTCAATACACAATACCCTATAAGAGTTAAATCGTGCGTACTGTGAATAATAGCTGTATATTTTACATTGTAATTAATTTCATGGAGGATGGACTGATTGTTATGAATACCATATTGAACTGTTACAGCGTTATTGTCATGCTGACTATTAATAGGAAACATAACGAAAATGTTTAGGTTATTGTTTTATCGGACGGATATTATTTGTATTAAATATTATATCCATTAAAACTGTTAATGATTTTACTTAGTCGTCACGGTTCGGTACGAAAACGCGTTGATTACGAAACGAATAATATCGATTGATTGATTGATATTATCAAACCGTGTGACTCACACCGAACCAGCAATGACGCAAAGCAGGGACGGATCTAGTATCAGTATTGCGGAAGGGGTGATTTTTCAAAAGGCGCGTAACACATACGTTATACCTAAGGTAACCATATATTTTCTAATCAAAACGGGACCAAAAAAAATATATTTTGATTAAAAACAATTTTTTGTGACAAAAAATTAAAATTTTATTAAAAACAACTTTTTTTTTTTTTTTATAAAAAAAAAAACGTCTACTTAAAGAATACAATATGTCCATATTGATACATCATAATTATATTTCGATACACACAGCCCCGATTCCGTTAAAAGTCAACCATAAAATATAAACACGTTACATGCACACGCAATAGTTAAATATAATAAAAACAGTAACTCATTGACAGATTAAAATTGAAGATCGTTATTCTTTACTATTTTCTGAAAACGGGATATTTTAGTATTCTGAAAAATTTCCTGGGAACAACGTGACAAAGGTACGAAAAACTGGACAGTCCCGTTCAAAACAGGACACATGGTCACCTTAGTTATACCTGGTTTTCGACTACAGTTTATAATATATTTTAATCAATTTTATATTTATATTTATTTTAAATATGTTTAAAATCGTGGTTAGTACGTTTAAAACGTCTAATAAGCTTCAAATTCTTATAGGGTTTATTTTTTCGAGAACGAGGCTGTGAGTGATATCTATCTATTATGTAATAATATTTGTGTATTTATTTAGCCTCAATGATATGCGCCAAACAGTCATCAGTTTTGACCACAAAAATATTATTTATCTTAAAAATTATTAAAAATTATGTCGTGTTCAATAAACACGCGATACGGTGACATTGTTTTATTAATACATTCCAATTAAACATATTACTGCGGCTTATTATTGTACAAGAGACACGCGGTTTTTTTTATTTTTTATCTCGTTAATGTCATTTTGAACAGACAGTAATCGCTTTGCACACGTTTTTCTCGTTATTTGTATTTATAGTTCGTCGGGTAAGAGACGGGCATGCACGCACTCAAAACAAACTAAAAAAAGTATTACGATGAATAACAACAACAAGAAAACAAGGTACGTACCTACCCCACACCTCACCAACGTGTACCTACTCGTATACATAAGTGTTCACGTTCAAAAACAGGTATTTGGAAGTTCAAACTACATTTTTTCTCAATACGTTGTCTTAATTGTTCCTGTTTTTCTGTACTAAAAATAACCACTGCAGGCTACGAGAAAACAACGTTACCTGCTCGGTACCGACGGATAACTCGAGGCGACCGAGTTTGATGACGATGGTTTTGTTTTTCAACAGTGAAATAAATCTCATAATGAATTCGTTGGCGAACGGATATTCCGTTTAACAATTAACGCGTTCGTACTTGAATATGGAATGATTACTAAAAGGTAATGTTTACGACGTTTCCGACGAGGAGTCCGCAAAAGCGAGTCGAAAATCGACGCGAGGAAATAATACGTGGAAAGCTCTTGGCAACAAGTCCGTGTCACGTTCAACACATGATCATACCGTGTTGTCCAGCAACACTGGATTTCAATACCGTTTGTACGCGTTGTGGAACGCGACGAGTGTGCCGCTTGCGATGAGCGCGAGAAGAGTTCCAGGAACGCCTTAACTACCGGTGTATTTTGTTGTCGAGAGAAGAAAAAAAAAAAACCAAGAAAACGAATCGTTAAAAGCCGGCAGCGCTATTGGAACGCGAAAAAGAGAGAAAACGAAACCGTCGGAAAAACTGCTGCGCCCGTGCGCATCACCCGCGGGCTCGTCCTACATGTGCGCTCGAGTCGCAAACGCGTGTAGGCTCGATTGCCATGTAGAGTACGGCGTACGTTAGCTTTAATTGTTACGCTGGACGGTGGGCAACGGCGATCGCACGCGCTCACTTTTTTTTTTTACGTTTTCGGAGTCAACGAACCGTGTGCACACCAGAAATGTGGTATTTCTCTGCCGACCATCTTGTCGACGGCGTTGGCCGACCAGCCGAGATCAGCGCACCTACGTCGGCTGCACGCAGATCCGTAGAAAGCGAACTTGTAAACGCGCGGCCGATGGATCGTCGGCACGACGGTTCAACATCAAACCGGTACGGTTAACGGTCTTGTTCTGACGAGCAGCACGACCCCCGAGATTGGGTAGTAGGAACAATCAAAAGTGCAGTTGACTTAACGGATATGGGCGCCTTGGAAAAAGTATAATTTTCCTTGTAGAACGGTTGCATTTCTACCGAGTGTTATCTGTGAGATTTGTGTGACTCATTAAGCCAACCTAGTACCTAATAAGTAACGATTATGCGAGTTTACAATCTTTGCCACTTCGACGATCGGTTAATCTATGAAATTTAAATTTAAACAATGGTACAACGGAAAAGATACACGTATTTTTTTTTTTTTTTTTTTTTTTTAATATTTTACCGCGCGATGGTCAAAATGATACAATTTATTCGTGGGTAATTATTATAATCCAAATATATTTCAAAAACCAAACTTTTCAGTGTGTGCGGGCAGTTGGTGAAAATCCTTAGAATAAGCCCTGGTACGGTTGACGGTCGCGGGACGCGCGCGCATACGATCGGCGTGTATCGGGTTTAACGAATTCGATTCGCTCACGACCGGTCGGACGACAAAAATGCGAGCGCTCGACGAACGGCGAACGTGCGCGGACGAAAACGAAAGCGGTCCTGGAACGGAATTCGAATAACAGTAACAGGTACAGTAATGGTACGCGCGCCTGTGAAACGTGTGGGCACACCGTACGGGTATTGTTACGCAATAAAATCTGGTTCCCGGATCGTGTGCGATCGGCTGGTAATGAAACGAAATCATGCACGCCTATCTCCGCGGAAGAGCAAGTTGAGCGGTGGAGTGGTAGGTGCGTTTGATTTCTTTTTGGAAATCCAACCGGTCAGCGGTTTCCGGCGGTGTTGTGTTACAGCCGCGATCGAAGGGGGAGGGAGTAATAATAAACTCTTGATATTCCTACGGGAAAGTACGAACGGACGTCGCGAAGAACTTTGCGAGCGATTATACTTGTGCGGAAAGCCAAACGGCACGGGACATTTCGTCGACCGTTTTCTCGGCGGTCGACGAGTAAAGTGATCGTTTAAGTTAGAACTCACGAACAATGTGCAATAATCCGGGCAACCGGTCCGAAACTGTGCGCGAAAAGGAATTCGAGATTTTACCCGAACCAAACGATTTATTTTCATCGTATTCCACTCGGAGATAAAATTAAACGCTCGACAAAGTGCGATTGCGAAATCGTTTGAACGCAAAAAGAAAAAAAAAAAAAAAGAAAAGGAAAAGAACGGTCGATTTTTAAGAAACACATATCCTTGGTAAAGGCGTGGAAAGGAGTGTTCAC